CCGGGACAAGCCGAATAGAGACTCGTGCCCCTCTCGTGTCCGTTTTTGCGACCGGGTTCCGTCTTAACGCAAACGGGCATACCTAAAACAATGGTCAACTCGTTGCGTAATGGTTCACATTTATTTGCCCATATATTATATTTATTTCAGATGCAATTTAAATCACACCGGGGCGTGCGGAATTATACAGTATAATTGAACACATTTAACTGTGTCTGAAGTATATTTTTAGATGCAAGACATATGTAAAATTAAAACTTATTTGTGAGGGATTCTTTGACGAAGTACTTGAAATCATACGCGCATTCTCATTGGTTTGTCATATTTTGGCACATAACATTCATCGATAGGGGGACGAGTCTTTTTGCAGGTTACGGAAAGGGGCGAGTGGTGACGAATGTAAAGAATAAGTGTTTACTAGATGTTTACTAAGTGTCTTATTGCCAAACGCCGCACCCAGCAAAACTTCTGCCAAGCGACGGCGGTGACTAAACTCGCGACTCTGGACCAGACAATCAAGTGATCGCGACTCTGGACCAGACAATCAAGTGATCGCGACTCTGGACCAGACAATCCACTGACGCGGAATCACTCGAGGCGCTACCAGCGCCGTCCTCCTAGTCCCACAAAGCCCACTGTTTACAACGTCTACGTACATCTGTGTTTCACATTGCCCCAAGACAGGCTCTATTCTTCTTTGATGGTGACAGCAAGAGGCGTGATTGTGACAGAGTGATGGTCGCCATCTACAGACATCACTTGGGCAGGGTAAACCCGATCCATCACCGGTACCCGGGGACAGATTTACTGGTTATGAAGCATGTAGATCCACGCTGTCGGTTTTCATACTGTATTGCTGACTTCGGCCGTTCTGTCTGGATATACATCATAATGAATGACGCGAACGTCAACTATTTGTCTGGAAGAAAGAGATTTCTCTGTACTTGTTTTATGTCGGGTTTTTGTATCGTTGAGAAATCGGGTTGGACTATACATTATTTTGTCGTTTTTTTCAGTATTCCGGATTAAAGGGATTTCCAATTTTTGTCTGGATTAACGGGTTTCTAGTATTTGTCTTTATTAACCAGGTTTCAGTCAACATATTCTAAGTCGTTTTCCCCGTATATGTCCAGATCTGCCTTAACGCGTTTCTCGTAGTTGCCTTGACTATAGGGTTTTATAGTACCTGCTGACCCGTGAAGATTCGGGATAGAATAGGTCTTCAGTAATCCATGCTTACCTTAAAAGGTTACTATGCTAGTCGTAAGAGGCGACTAACGGGATCGGGTGGTCAGGCTCGCTGACTTGGTTGATGCATGTCATCGATCCCAATTGCGTGGATTGATGCTCATGATATTAACCACTGGATTATTTGGTCCAAACTCGATTATCTTCAGACCGCCGTCATATAGCTGGAATATTGCTAAGTGCAGCGTTAAGTAATAAACAAGAACAAGACAAGTATAATACCTGCTTCATAAAGTTTATATTGAATAACGGGTATTATACTAGTCTTTATTATATGGATAGCTATACTTGATTAATGACTCATTTTTACAGTATCTGCTTGTAAATATTAAGGTTCCCAGTATTGATGTTTCCAGTATTGAGGTTCCAGTATTAAGGTCCCCGGTATTAAGGTTTCCAGTATTAAAGTTCCAAGTATTAGAGTCCCAGTGTTAAGGTTCCCAGTATTAAAGTTCCCAGTATTACGGTTTCTAGTATTGAGGTTGCAGGATTAAAGTTCCAAGTATGAAGGTCTCCAGTATTAAAGTTGCCAGTATTAAGGTCGCCGATATTAAGGTTTCGAGTTTTTTTGTGGATCAAAGGGTTGTCACAATACTTGGATTCCGCTAATGTGAACTACACTAACTGTCTATATTCATACTTGAGGTATTGAGGTTCCCAGTATTAAGGTTTCCAGTACTGAGCTTCCAGTATTAAAGTTTCCAGGATTAAGGTATCTAGTATTGAGGTTCCCAGTATTGAGTTTCCCAATATTAAGGTTCACAGTATTGAGGTTCCAGTATTAAAGTCCCAAGTATTAAAGTTCCCAGTATTAAAGTTCGCAGTATTAAGGTTCCCAGTATTAAGGCTCCCAGTGTTGAGGTTCCCAGTATGTTTGTGGATCAAAGGGTTGTCACAATACTTGGATTCCACTAATGTGAACTACACTAACTGTCTATATTCATACTTGAGGTGCAACCCCATACGTCTATTTCATTGTGATCCCCTGGCACTGACACGGCAGGCCATACTTAATGTTAACGTCAACCACAGTTGTATGTGCTAATTGTTTGTATTTTATTGCACCATTTGCCGGTTGGTCACGCAAAAAGCAACGTGACTTGGGTGATGGTGTATGCTTTGCATAATATGCAGGAAACATATGGATAATGAGACGTCCGCCCCTCCCCCACACAGAACCCTAACAGGAGGCCTCGTCTTGAGAGGCCACTTCAAGCAGTATATCATTTGCCATTATATTTTAAAAACAAATTGGTAGAAGTTTGTTTTATTATGATAGTGCAATTACTTCGAAATAATTTACTTTATGTTTGTAGAAAGAAAGAAGTAGAAAGTATTTTTTTTAGAAATTAAAATATATGTTCAAGTTACCACCTTCTACTTGAAGTTAAATTTCAAGCAAAACTTCTGTAATGCGGGACCGTACCCAAATTTAGCATGCACATTTTTTCTAAATGTCGGATCATATTTAGCTCGGTCGGAGATGAAAAATTATTTTTAATGTCTCCTGAAACAGTTTAGTTTACAGGGACCTACTCAGTTTGACCGTCTAGTGGTAGAGCATCCGCCCGGAGAGCGGAAGGTCCGGGGTTCGATCCCCGGCCGCTTCATACCAAAAGACGTTAAAAGATGGTACTGTCTGGCGCTCGGCATTAAGGGGCTAAAACAAGGACTGGTCGGCTCGGAGTCAGTATACTGTGTCTGAGTGGGGTATTCATGTTAAACTGCGGCATGGTATCTCAGTGAGCTAGCACTATAAATCGGCATCAGTCCGGACTAGTACAAGCAGCCACACAAACACACACACGTACATGCACGTCGCTATATAAGTGCAATAATCTTGGACGCGACGTTAAACCCCATTTCACCTCACCTCACCTCCTCAGTTTGACACCACGGTTGTGCGTGGTGACTCAACGGTGCATTTGCCATTTTGCCTGGATCTCATTGTACTTATTTACTGGTCACTGTTCACTCTCTACCTACTGTGTGCGCTTTGTGACATGACCCCTGTGTTTATAGAAAGACGGTAACTGTTAATCCCCTGCAATGTGGCTGCAAAGTGAGGATAAATCAGTTTATAGCTGGATGAATAATGTCATTGTCGTTGATACCGAATGCCATTTACAACACCCTCGTGTCCACTGAATCTGCGATATTTGATAACATGCTGGTGTTTTTTGTGCTCGACCAGAAGCACCTGAAACAGCGTTGATCCGACGTCACATCTTAACGCTGACAGTCGTTATGCAGTACATGCAATTTCATAAACTCGTCATGCTCCAGGCAGCTGTGTAACGTACTTCCGCCATCGCAACATGTCGTTACTGGGGTATGGTCATGCCTCTTGGCTCTGATTGGAGAATGAATGATTGACAATATGCGCATCACGTCAAACGTTTTTATTCCAAGTATCCAGGAAGGGCCTAGTTATTTGATTATACGAATATGTTATATCTATTCATGTCAGCGTGATAGAGCGGTGTCCATTACGAGTAATTACAACCTAAACTATTTTGACAGGTCAGTGATGAATATCGAGAGTGGCCGGTTATGTCTGAATCATCATTTTAAAAAAAACCATTAGAGGTTGCGTTTTACGTGTGTTACATTTCCAAATCTGACGCATCAGTGACAAAAAAAATTGACATGTACCATATGTTTCCGTGTTTTTTCAGGTGAACATTTGACTTGTCTTTGCATGTGTTTGTGACGGTACCACCGGTAGGGCAGGATACGCTCACCTTTTCACGTACGCCTGGTATCATCACTATTTGATACTGATTCATAAGCACATGCTCATGATAAAGTCGGAATCGTACAGCAGACTCTGCTTGATATAGAGATATGGAAAGGTTTTGTTGCTTTTATCAATTAGATATATTATGTATATATTAATCATAATAAAGAATAATTAGTTTTGGTCAGGCCGTCGTACAGTAGGAAGCGCCTTACTAGGGGGACTGGTGTCCTCTAGGCTACAGACAGTGGGATCTGACTATTGCCTCGTGATCAAATTAGGATGCAAAGTGAGGAATCAGTGACTGTTGTTGTACAGCTAATACCTATATCTTAGTGACCTGTAAGTAATAGGACCCGTGAAGATCCGGGTGAATAGGTCTTCAGCAACCCATGCTTGCCGTAAAAGGTGACTATGCTTGTCGTAAAAGGCGACTAACGGGATCGGGTGGTCAGGCTCGCTGACTTGGTTGATGCATGTCATCGATCCCAAATGCTTGGATCGATGCTATGATATTTATCACTGGATTGTCTGGTCCAGACTCGATTATTTACAGACCGCTGTCATATAGCAGGAATATTGCTGAGTGCGGCGTTAAACAACAAACCAACCAACCAACTGTAAGTAATAGTGTCGGTCAGTAAACAAGTAACAATGGTCAACACCGTCGGGCAGGATGGCGCGCAATCAGTCTGGTTACCAATTGTAACCACCCCACCCATTGTAGCCGACATGCACTAGGATGGTTTGACCCTGAAACCACTAAGGGACAAATATGTTCCATTTGCATTGTTAAATGAGAACTTTACATTCCTCCAAAACAGTATGTGATGATGATATCAATGTAGTTCTAGCTGTTCAGTTAAGACGGCATTACATGAGTTGTAGATTTATACCTGTTGTTTCTACAGGCCCCCATACCTTGCAAATATGCTGCCATCAAATTAAAGTTTAAATTATAAGCTGGTTTATTTTTATTCCTGTCAAGGCGTTGCGCCCCGTCATCACTCACCAAGGATCTGGAGGAGGAGGGCCGCGGTTTCTAGCGCTGTAGAGTGCAGCATACCTTCGTGGAGAGAAGACTCATGTCACTCACCTGCAATACAGACGTTAACAACATATTACACACACAATGTAAATAGTTTATAGCACATAATCTTATATAAACATTGTAGACAACATATATACACAGTGTGTGTGTGTGTATGTATATATATATATATATATATATATATATATAACCCGCCTTAGGGGGAAATAAATTTCTCAGCGGGGCAATGCAGGCTGCACGTTCTGAGAGGCAGTATAAAATGACCCTTATACCACCGTTCAATGCAAAAAGCCGCACGCTTTTCCCGTGTCAATGGAAATCACGTGACATACCACAAGTTAACCTCAGCTCAATGAATTTTGAATTTGTGTTAATACTTTTACAATGTCACATTAAAACATGTCGATAAGATACAATTGTTGTAGCAGGATCACTCGGGGTACATTGGGATTTATGCGTCCCTCGTTAGGAGCCTCCGGCTCGTGAGAGACAGACAGACAGACAGACAGACAGACAGACAGACAGAGAGTACAGTCAACAAAGATGTTATGCAGTTGTCGGCCTTGGTCGGACGTCATTCAGCCGTCATTGAATCTCGTCCGAAAGTTGCTCAATGGGATTTAAATCGGGGTTGAGGGCAGGCCACTGCATGGTTCTGATGCCATTCTGCTGGAGGAAGTCTCGCACGGGCGTTATCATGCAGAAACTCGTGGTTGCGGCGACGTTACAAATGAGGTATGGCGTGTGGTCTCAAGACTTTATCAATGTACGGAACTGCTGTGACACTGTTGCCTCTCCCTGGACCGATGTTCTGGAAGACCACGGGGCCGACCGTCTGTGCAAGACCAATTCCACCCCACACCATGATGCTCGGACCAGCCCACGAGTCTCTCTCAACAACACAAGCATCCGAATAAAGTTCCCCACGGCGTCGCCAGACTCTCTCTCAAATCTGCTGTTGAGATACAGTAACGGCTCTCGTCTGAGAAGAGGATTCTTTTCCACTACTGGTGGCGCCAATATTGGTGCTGTGTTGCCCACTGAAGACGGTCCCGGCGTCAGAATGGGTCCTCGGTATGGCCTCTGACAGTGGAGGTATCTGCTCGTCAATCGTCGACGCACGGTGTCCGCATGTGTTGCTGTGTCCCAGGTGTGTCCCCATGGTCTGTCGAGCAGTTTCCGCAGCAGTAACAAAGCGATCTTGAAGATGCTGTCGCACAATCTGACGATCCTGACGTCGGGTGGTGACCCTTGGTCTTCCACTACGTGGTCGGTCATCTGTAGTGTTGGGTGTCTGGTACCGTTGCTGGAGCCTGTATGTGGTCCTTACGTGGACTTGAAATGCATTGGCTACTTGCCGGGCGGTTTGTCCAGCTTGCAATCGTCCAAGGGCTTGGTGTCGCTGATTTCTTGTCAATCTTGGCATGTGGTAGCTATTCAATAACGAATGAATGTTATCCGATCTGGGTGGATTTTTATAGGGCAAGAAATGGGGGAACGCATGTGCATTACCATGGCCGCGATCGGTTTTATTGTCATCTGCTTTGTTTTTTTTAAATCAAATTCATTTTTCCGGACAAAGTTATGTTAAATTTTAGAAACTTAGACAAAAATTACCCAGATAGTTAAATGACAACTTTTCATGCAATGTAACTTGGGGTGACGTTTCTTTTGCGGTTCAGTATATATATATATATATATATATGTAAATATATATGTATACATGTAGAGAGAGAGAGATAGATAGATAGAGAGAGAGAGAGAGAGAGAGAGAGAGAGAGAGAGAGAGAGAGAGAGAGAGAGAGATTGAAGACAACATAGATGTATGACATCATGTAAATAACATAGATATATTACAGATATACACAATGTAAACAACTTGTATCTATAACACATATACACAATGTAATAACATCTATGTATTGACGTATGAACACACGAGAACCAACTTCCAGTGTCATTCCTCGGGGAAGCCCTCGGGGAGGTAGCGAACACCAGGTATGCATTTCTGATGCCCTTCTATCGCTCTTGGTCATAAACCGCTGCAAGCCGAGACACTTCTGAAGAACTGACGCCGCCAGGCTGTGATGTCGTGGTGGCTTTTTTGCAACTGTCGCGTAAATGTGTCGGATGCTCTGAGTCATCCACTAGGTTGCAGATTACTGACCCATGAATCTATAATGACTTGACCTGAGCTCACGACCTCAAAGAGGACTTGGTGAGTGAGTGAGTTGGGTTTAACACCGCTTTAAACAGTATTCCAGTTATATCACGGCGTGTCAGCTTAATGTGGGAGGAAAGCCAGAAGTGATGCAGGTCTCAGACGTTTACCACTTCGGTGAAACCCACGAGCATGGGTATGGTGCTGACAAACCTAGAAACATAATCGGGGCGAACCGGGATTCGAACCCACAATCATAGGTTTCTGGCGTGCCCAAGGGACGCAACTCTGCAGTGCGAATCGCGTCGCCTTAGGCGACTGGGCCACCCGTGTCCCCCAAATAGGACTTGGCTATGTGTGTGTACGGTGTTTTGGACATATTGCCTCTGCAGAAGAAGAATGTGAAGTTTTCTTAGAATTTTTTGTAACAGTATTCAGTCAAATTATATCACGACATGTCAGCTTAACGGTGAAACCCAGGATCACGTGTATGTTGCGGACAAACCAAGTAACATAATCGGGGCGAAACGGGATTCGAACCCATGATAATATGGAATCGCGGCCCCTTAGACGACTATGCACCGGAATTCGATCCCCAGCCGAGTCATACCAAAAGACGTTAAAAGATGGTACTTGTTACCCTGCCTCGCGCTCGACATTAAGGGGCTATAACAAGGACTGGTCGGCTCGGAGTCAGTATACTGTGGCCGAGTGGGATATTCAAGCTAAACTGTGAGCTAGCACTTTAAATCGGCATTAGTCCGGACTAGTACAAGCAGCCACACACACATGTGCATGCACGTCGCTATATAAGTGCATAATCTTGGACGCGACGTTAAACCCCATTTTACCTCACCTCCGTAGTGTTGAACATGCCCTTTGTAAGTGGCCTTCCGATACAATCACTTGTGTAATTATACCACCATTGCAAATTTCCACCTGCGTACAGAGCTACATATGTCACTAGATACAAGTATACAATTACAAGTATACAAGGCATAATAAAAAATACTGAAGATTGGCAAGTTGTAAAAAAATCAAAGTGATCATTTAAGATTATTTTCAACTTTTGACCCAGCTGTTTCTCTCAGGAGAAAAAGACCCGTGAAGATCCGGGGTAGAATAGGTCTTCAGCAACCCATGCTTGCCGTAAAAGGCGACTCTGCTTGTCGTAAAAGGCGACTAACGGGATCGGGTGGTCAGGCTCGCTGACTTGGTTGATGCATGTCATCGATCCCAATTGCGTGGATCGATGCTCATGATATTAACCACTGGATTGTCTGGTCCAGATTTGATTATTTACAGACCGCCGTCATATAGCTGGAATATTGCGGAGTGCGGCGTTAAACAACAAACCAACCAACCAAATCTCAGGAGAAAAGGACAGGGGCACCATTCCGTGATAATTTACTCTGTTGGGACGGCCTTGCTCATTTATTTTCTTACGTCATCTGTCGCATTACGTTGACAATAAGGACCGTACTTGGTTTAAAAACTCCATCAATTCAATATAAAGTGAAACTTTCAAATTTTACGGAAAATAAATTGTTGCAGCAAATCCATACCAGTGTGAGATTATTCCCTTCTAATAATATGACTATCTAGATTTGCTTGTGAAGAACAGCTATTCGTGGCTAATAGTTATGCCATGTCTGGGACGGTTGGGTAGCCTAGAGGTTAAAGCGTTCGCTCGTCACGCCGAAGACCCGGGTTCGATTCCCGACATGGGTACAATGTGTGAAGCCCATTTCTGGTGTCCCCCGCCGTGATATTGCTGGAATATTGCTAAAAGCGGCGTAAAACCATATTAACTCACTCTAACTAACTTATGCCATATCTTGGGAGTGAGTGAGGCTTTCATTCAGTACAAATCAATATTAAAGCGACAATCTATAAAAACAACGACCGCGCACGCCAAGAAAACCACGCCTCGGAAGCGGAATGGAACTCTGTACTTCGGCTGAACGAGTCAAAGCGTTAACCACTAGGCCATCCCCATCTGCATGCGTAGACTTTCTTGGATGTTTTGGCTTCGATTTTGTTGGGTTTTTTGTGCCGCCATACACTGTATTTTAAATGAAACAATTTTAGCATTATATTTCTCATGTTTACAATAATTATATACACCACAAAAGTTTGTTAAAGATATCGAATATACATTAGGCTTTGTCAGGCCAAATGAGCGTTATGAAATGTAAACAAAGAAAGTAAATAAATATCCTGTTCCCTTTTGAGCTATGCTATATAACACAAGTTCTGGTGTTTTTGCGAAACGTAATCATATCGACGATGCACAGAGGGACAACGAGAGAGATATTTACGTGCGTCATCTCATTGCCGTCCAAGTCATAAATCAACGTTGGGTGGACTGGTTGTCTCTGTGCTCGGTACCAGCCAGCCTACGACACAACACCAGCAGACAGCGGGGACACTTAGGTGGGCTGTAGTTGCAGTGGCAGATATATGCACCATTTGACACAACGTGCGTCAGATGTGGAAGGCATCCTATGACACATTGTGCGTCATTTGTATACGGCATCCTATGACACAACGTGAGTCAGTTGCATATGGCATCCTATGACACAACGTGAGTCAGTTGTATATGGCATCCTTTAAAACAATGTGCGTCAGTTGTATATGGCATCCTATGACACAATGTGAGTCAGGTGTAAATGGTATTCTATGACACAATGTGCGTCAGTTGTATATGGCATCCTATGACACAATGTGAGTCAGTTGTATATGGCTTCCTATGACACAATGTGCGTCATTTGTATGTGGTATCCTATGACACAATGTGCGTCAGTTGTGATAGGCATTCTATGACACAATGTGCGTCAGGTGTATATGGCATCCTATGACACAATGTGTGTCAGTTGTGTAT